CGGGCTTCCCTCTGCATGCTGACTAGGGTGGGGAGGAAACTCATCGTAGAATCAAGTAAATACGGTATGACTTCAGTATGTTTAAAATAGTGGATTTTCTCCCATAGACAATTATAGAAAACAAGACATTTACAGTATGTTCTATGAAACAACATAAAACAGGGAAAAGAGCTCAATTTTCCATACATAAACTTTATTCCACTGGACACCATACAAAATATTAAACTTAAAAAAAATGAAAATATATGAATTTGACATCAATGATAAGTAACAATTTTAACATGTGATCTTGTCTGCAATAACAAACACATGAGAGGCACAAACTGTGCTACAGCAGTTCTAAAAGAAGTTTCACATGTTTTTTGGAAAAGTTAAAATTTTCAAGATTACTTTTTAAATTTTAAATTTACAGCAGCTGACCAATTTACAAATATTTACACAAAGTCAAAACAAAAACTTGGCTTATTTTAGCAGCTTTATAGCAGCTATCACTACTACTTTGCATATGGAAACAAAACACAAAAAGGTATCTGACCTACTCTGTGCGAATATTATGCGCTTACATGGATTGCTTTGCCACTGATTATTTCAACTGTTTTGTAGTAGCCCTGCTGCTTAAAAATTCCAGTTTGAATTACAGTTCTTGGCATCAAGAACACTATAACAACTAGTGTCTAGTTTTACTGTGATTAATTTACTGTTGTTCCATATAACAGGGAAATAAAAACTGGAAAGTGCCAAGTAGAGCAAAAGTGCATACTGCATTAAGCAGTTGTTAAGCACGGGCTGCTTATCCTCCAAGACATGTGTATTGTGTGCAATGCCTTAAAAATAGTTGGACTCACACATTTGCTAGCTTTTTATTTCTTTATTTTATGTGACTGAATTAACCAATACACAGCTGATGGTAACAACAGATCAATACACTCCATTTCTTTCCTTAGATTTCTGTGGTCTGAAATTTGGGTTGTAATGGTCTCTTCCTCTTATACATGTCACTGATGTAGGCATTTTCAGAAAAAAATGCATCTTTGAATGAAAGGTTGTATTAACAAATGTCATAATAAAATATGCAATCTTTCTTACAAACATTTCCTTAACAAAAACTTGAAAGAGAAAAACACTTCATAAAAAACCATGGGGTAACTGCATCTTGAGTTGTAATATTGTTCTTTATATTTCAGCAGAATCCAATAAGGAGACAATGAAAGAAGTAGCCAGTTATCTTTTCTGTATAGTTGCTCTTAAAGGTAATACACAGTTCAAGTCTTTCTTGTCTCGTAACCTTTGCCATGACTGGGAAAGAAATAAAAATCATATCATTTTAAGAATTAAATAATTCTCTTTTATTTCAACACCTCTTTAACATTAAAAAGGCATAAATACCACAGATACACAGAAATGTTTTTAAACATTTAGTTTTCCTATTACCACCAGTTAATTATTTCTTTAAAAAAAATCCTTCAATGAGAAGAATAAATAATGAGATTGCATGGAATGCTTGGCCAGGCACAAGGATAACCTGTGAAGAACAGGCTATTAATGTAAATGATTAAAGCATTCTAATTTGTCAATATCATTAAGGGTTCTTCACATGTATGATTTGGAAGACACAGGTTGAACATTTGAGGAATAATCCTCTGATATTTCCAAAACGGAAGCAAGTGTCCTTACAATGGGCAATTGTGATCTCATTTTTATACCTTCCCTGCACTCCAGGAAAAGAATGTCAGATGGCATCTTTCAGGCCTGCAGAGACGCAACTCTCTGCGCCTATGCAACGCCAGTTAAAAATTAGAGCCTTGTGAGGTAAACTTTGAACATGAAGAATTGACTTTCCAATGGAATTATGGACCTTGGTCCATTCAGCAACACTACACATCCCAGTTTTATAGGACATTCATAAATATATGCAGCTTTATGAGCAACGAGTTGTGTTTCCTTCTTTTACCTATGCAACATATTAAGCACTTATTAAGCATATATTAAGCATTATAGATTAAGCAATATTAAACATACATTAAGCAATATATGAAGCATTTTACTTTGGAACGGAGTATTTTATTTATGACACCAAACACTTTAGGTGTAGGCTTCACAGCAGTTAACAATTTTACATAATGATTTAAAAATAAAGCAACCCTCCTTTCCCCTCATATTCCAGTAACATTACAAATATTCTCATAATAGAACAGATTTCCAGGACGTTTGTATCAAAAGCCCAGATCATGACAGCTGTTTCACTAGCCTACTTACCTCCACACAGAACTCTAAGTATAGAGAGAGGTGGATATTTACTAGGGCTGTGTGAAGCTTCAGTCACTGACTCAATTTGGCCTGATTCAGTAGCCGAATCTCCGAATCTGAATCAAAGGAGGAGACCTTTTAATCTCTCTGAATTGAATCAGAACGCTCCAAATCGATTTTGAGAGATTCAGAAAGATGCGACTATTCAGACAGACACAGCTTTAAATGTTTTTTCTACATACCACAAGGTAGCAGGCAGCTCATGAATGCTGCGAAGGTGGTGCAGATGAAGTGTCCCACAGGAGCACAGGGAGGTCCCCAGTGCGCTCAGCAGCAGACCCAGAAGTGGACCAGAAGTACTTTCAGTCCACCACCAAGCACATGGGGGGGCGGTAATGGGGGTGGTGCTGCGCTCCTGTGGGATGCTCCATCCACCCCACCATCACCGTGTTCACGAGCCATGCCTGGTACCTCGGGGTGTGTAGAAAAAACATTTAAAAGCGGTGTCTATGGCCGAATCGCTGATTCTCCAAATCAGCATTGAATCTTCAGATTCAGATTCTGCAGAAACGGATCGGGGACAGTGATCCGAACTGAATACGGCCCATTTCACACACCCATAATATTTAGTGTGCCCAACATTGCTTAAATTCAAGTGTAGATTAAAAGTCACAGGGATGTTGTAAAAAAAGAGAGTGCATACCATGCATGTGTTACCCAAACAAATTTCTGTTCCATAGGGTAGAAAGTATGCTAGGTACTTATTCTCCCATTTCATGTGTTTGAAAGGTAACGTTTCAAGTAGAAAATTATTTTTACCACAATTTTGGTGCTTTATATGAAGACCCTCAACTTTGTTTTAATTATTTTCTCCTCATTTGTTTGTTTTTGCATTAATAATATCTGATCTTTTCTTCCTCCTCTTTGAAGAAACTTGACAGAATCTTTAGATAACATGAACACTGATGTCACAATAAGGCCTTAAGTGCAAGCTCCAAATGATAGCAGGGAGGAGAAGTTAATTGGTTGCATGTGAGATCCAGTCCCAGGCACATATACTGCTGGGCATAACTAGTAGGAATTGTGTTGGTGAACTCAGAGCCTGAGCAGTGATACAAGTACTTGAATCCAAACAGATCTTTCACCCAGGACAAGATCTAAAACAAGGAAATAAAGGGTAGGGGATAGGAGGTTTCATGTATTTGGAGGATCAAACCCTTTAATCAAGGTCCAACCTAACTTCCCTGGAGGACAGGAGACTTTGAGCATTCATCATCAACTGGACCAGAGAAGGCTGCCTCTCAGTCATATTTTGTTTCCAATGTTCATGTTCTAGGACTTTGCCAGGGATTTTTCACAAAAAGAGTACCCAATATTTTAAATAAAAAACGTCAATAAAAAAACCTTTAAAAACAAAATACAGGCCGTGTTTACATCATAAAAAGAATAGTATAAGACACAAAGCATTTTCATGTTTTATCAAGTTCCCTGTCGGGTTCCTACATCAAGAACCAGTGAATCCAGATAAATTTGCAAAGTAGTCAGCCTTTTTCCAAACAATAACCAGGAATTTTGGCTGAGATTTCAAAGCTGTGCAATGGATTTAGTTCCCCCTTCTAATTAAAATTTAGAACTTCAAGATAGAAATTGGTATCTAAAATGAAAATTCTCTTCAGTTCTGTCACTTATGTACACACTCATGAGATAGCATTTCTCTCCTATATGCAAGATGAATTCCTATAAAACAGATTATAAGCAAGCATAACCTAGCCACCACTGTACTAGATAAATCCAGTAACCCTCTCTTCTCATTTTTTATTCTAATATCTTTGTAAAAAATGTCTGTAATTATTGATTTGACATTTTTACCTTTAGAAATTCGTCTTTGATAATGTCAAACTTCTGCTTTTCATGCACAGCCCGAGCTGTGTTTGTTCCATCAAAAGGCTCTGCAAGGTTAAATGCAAACGTTAGAAATGATAAAGCCTCTAGCCAGTACTGCATCTTCATCTGTAAGAAGCAGAGGGTGAGTCAACATTGTCACTTTCTCTGAAGGCTTTTAGCAGCTGGCAGCATTTTCCTTCTCTGACATCTGTGTAGGCAACTTTCATATGATAAAAACCATGTTAAACTTTCTTCTGTAGCTGGTAGAGATAATTAGTATTATTCCTTTCTGTGAACAATTTTATAATTTACTGGTTGTGACTAATACTGTACTTAATTTTTCAAATGGTATTTACTTTTAAATATTACTATTTAGTACTCAAAGTATGTGAAGTCCCATCAAAAACAGCATCATTACACATAAAACACAAGAACATATTTTAATACACAGAAATTACTGCATATAGACCTCAGAAAAGTATACTGATATCAGATAGATCATAAACCACTGTCATTATGCAATAACCTTTGAAGCACAATTACACAAAAGAAGAGAGTAGTAAAATAGGGAATTTAGTATAATGACTATGAGATCAAATTTTAAAATATTTTTTAAAAACATTAAAAATATTTTTTTATTCTTACAAACAATCTTTTTACTATTGACAAAGTATGATTTTTATAGTTATTTTTCTACTGGATTAAAATTCAACACAGCTTTAACATTTTGTTGTTGTTGTTGGCATAATCAGTAACTTCAGTAGCATTTCCAAATAGGGGATTCAAAAACACCTGCACTCCTTTTGTTGGCAAGGGGCCACCTTCAACAAAGCAAAGATACTGTGGCAGTATTCAGCTTATGCTGTCTTTTTTTCCCCCAGACTCACTGCAAAACGTGTTTTAGAATCCAGTTCTTTTACATGTTGGAAGAGGTCTACATAAGTACATTAAAGTATTTTCCATACATGCGAGACGTATGACAACCCAAGACTGGAAACCCTGAAGCCAAAATGTACTCTTAAATAGGTTACGCTACTTGCGTCCTTTTTAATGGTTTATGAATCCCTTTTATTTTAGAAGATGTGGCCAGAGCAAACAGTGTTATAAATACATAGTAAATACACAAAATAAAAAAAAGCCTATAAAAAACCCACACATGAATTCAGTATACCACTAGCACACTTTTCATATGCATTTTAACTGAAAAGAAAACCACTGGTAAACATATACTTTTAATTTAGAGCCCAGTCCTACAATACAAATGCAAGCAAATGTTTTACTCAAATCTAGGAGAATTTGCCAATATAGAGATTACAGGACTCTCACTTCAAAGGAATAAAAATATCCAAACTACAAATTTAAATAAACTTAGTACACAATTGATCAGGACAATGGCCCTTATAGCTCTTTGTATGGCAACCTTCATCCTTCAAGAACATTTTTCTAAAAACATCTTTAAAATATTTAAGTAGGTGTTTGCTGGCATACTTGCCAGCACAACATGCCGTTATTTACACTGAATCACAATGCTGGCCATGCAGGGCGCTGACAGGTGTGGAAACAAAACAAAACACAAAACAAAACAGTGCTTTATCAGAAGAGGCATCGCATCATTTTTACCCAGCTCCCCAGCATCTGTATAGCTTGAGCACTTCAGCAGGGTTTTTTGTCACTTTTATGTAATAGGCAATTTAATCAGCTATTAAACACGCTGAAAAAACTGTGCTGAAGCATGTGAGCTATACAGATGCTGGGTGAGCTGGGTCAAATTGATGTGATGACACTTCTGGGCACGCGCTGCATTCAGCACGGGAATGTGCCAAGCTGAAAGTAAACTGCTGGCTCCATCCCCTCCCCCGCCATATCTGTAAGCAGCCTTAAACTATAAGCTTAAAAGCTAGGCACAAAATTTGACATGCTGACTTACTACTACTATAAAATTGCACATGCCGATAACGTGCTATATGTTCAGTGGTATAGTGTTTTCTTTTATTTGTTCCAAATTTGATGTTGATTGATCTGGTAGTACAAGGAACATTTTGCACTATATCCAAGATCAAATAAAGTTTTTTTTTTTTTTTAAAACAACAAATGCGGGGCCGCAAAGCCCCTCAAATTTGTCCAGAAGTACCATCCTACCCCAATACAAAAAAATCAACTCACTTCTTCCCTATACTGTTTGTTGTCATTTATTATTAGATTAAATAATGAAACTGTTCACCTGTCAAAAAAAAACAAACAAACAAACAAAAAAACCCTTACCCCTAGAGAGTGGGCCAAGAGAATTTTGTAAGATTACTTATTGCAATATTTTAACTGACATACTTTAGGGTTAAGTGTCACTTAATGTTTTCTAAAGGAAAACTGCAGCATAACATAAAATAAAAAAATGCAGCATAAATTGTTTTACTCGCTAAAGTAAATAAAAAACAGCAGCAGTAAAATGCAATCCTAATAATTTGCTCATTCAGACTAGGACTAAAGGGATCCAACTTTCCAATTAGGAAATGAGAAACCAGAAAGTTTCAAGTTTTGTAGAGTTATTCTTAAGAGAAAAACTCACAACTGGATTAAATACTTATGGAAGCAAGGCAAATTAGTAGTCTCTCCATATTGGGCACAGTGTTGAATCCTGTACAGACTTTCCAGAACAACTCTACCAAGGACTTTCGATCCAGTTATTTCCCCTCCTGGCTCTTCTTGAACATTGAGAGCATGCTATTTTGTAATCTGTGAAAAGCTGGATTGGACTGAAACGTAAATGGTTAATTAAGAGTCAGGTCTCTTGAGCTGGATAACAGGACAAGCATGAATTAGTACTAATAATTTCCTATATAAATATTGCAAGGGTAATTTTCCTGACTGTCCAAAAAGGGATAGAAAATGCAACTCAAAGCTGTGCTATTTTGGGGCTCAGCAGTGTCCTTGAAATGAACATATTACATATTTAAAATGACCATTTCTGTAACCATCTGAAGGTCTTAAAGGTTAGGAGGGAAAAACAGTCCAATTATTTAAAAGGTGCTAGATGTCTTCTTGTATTATAAAAATTATGCCATTCTGATAGCCGTCTTCAGTTATTTGAAGTTTTAAAAAAGTGTATTGACAAAAGGGAGACATCCTATATAACTCCTCCATTAAAGTACGTTACTTAGGTTGCAAAGTCAAGCACTCTGTAAATGCCAGAGTTAAGGTTGCCTACGCAACCTTAATTTGATCCTCTTGCGCATCTTCCTTATGATGCAGCCATTAATTCTATGATCATATGCTATTTTCTCTACAGGATGCCTGCATAATTCAGCACACAAGAGAAAAGGATACTGAAAAAATAGCTATTCAATATTGTGTCTTTCCCTCATTGTTCATATTCTCATGCCTTATTTACTTGACACTATTCACACCATGCTCAAAAACAGAATTGTAAAGTTTCCTATGAGCTTTGCTAAGACATTTGCCTCCTTAGTATTCAAAGTGTTTCAAAATGTAGCATTTTTCTTCTAAGCACCTTTAAGAAAAAAGTAACTTCCCCTTTTACAGATATAAAGCAGGGTACACCAACATTAAGATTTTAAAAATCCACAATTTTGGGGTACACAATTGAAGGCACCAGACTACTAATTATATAAGTTTTAAGCACAGCTCCCATTGCCTCCAGTTGTAGCTATGAGAGTTCAGCACTTTTACAATTCAGCTCCCAGCATCTTGCTGCTGGGCAGCTGGAAAATAAGAAACATACAATCAGGATATAGACAAGCATGCTCTTTTGTCACTTTAAAAAAAGGGAGCTGCTGTTCCAGAATGCTCAGGGTTGTAACTACATTATTTTCACGAATCTTCAGCAATAAGTTAGCTAAATTGCCCTAACTTTGACCCTGGATGAAAGCAGGTTAAAGCTGGGGCACTTACGCTATACCTGTATTAAGACAGAATAATACAGATGCAGCAGCTATGCCAAACACAGCTTCTGTATCCCTTGATTGTGATGAAGTTGTTACCTCCATCGACTCCCTTAATGACCAACTATAAAAAAAAGATTAGTTCAAGCAACCTGCCTACCACCACACAGAACTCTGTAGCAAAGATAGAGATAAAATTTAATTCTTTAGGACAGCATTCAGCGATAACAGCAAGACGTTTTTCCTCTTCCCAATATTACTTACTTCATTCCCTTCCCACCCCACCTCCTAATTTCTGCAACAAATTGGGCAGAAACCATGTAGTTGTCCACAAATACAAGATGAAAGTCATCCTTTTATATCCAATAGTTTTAAGAAGTCAGGATAAGACTAAAACCAAAACTGTTTAGGTTAATAGTACTGTGTCAAGTGGTTTTTAAAGCTCCCAAGAAAGCCAGGAGCTGATATGACAGTATACTAAAAAAATCAATCTAGGATAGGAAAAAAAACAACCAAAAACCAAAAAAAACCAACAATGATTATATAATTAAAGAATATTTTACTTGAGTAATGCTAATGGAATGACCTTTGCACCAGTTATCAGGCTCCATTTACTTGAAAGTCAATCAATGGCTGTATGAGAGGCCTGAAAGGAGCAAGTTTCCCATTATGGTTGTTATTCCCATATTTCCTGAGGCACAGAGATATACCATGGCAACAATGGGCCTTTACTGGTCTATGAAAAACATACCGATTAAAAAGGGAATAAAAACTGAATGAAGAAGAGGACAGTCGTCTCCGCTGGCTTTGACTAAATCATAAATGCCACTTGAAATACAAGACCTAGGTTCTTGCTTTGCCAATTTTTAAGTCTCTGCTCCAAAAAACCGATGCTAATAAAATATTTTTCTCTAACCTCCTCCTTGGAAATCTGTACATCATTTTGGCTAAAACTTTTAAAAAGAATTAGCCAGCATGGAAAATTTCAGCCCAGTTCAGCAAAGATCTAAGCAACTGGAAAAGGGTCTTAGAAAGGGAAGTGTTGAGCTATGTTAACGCTAGGTAGTGGGTCTAGCCAGCCCTGCCTATGATGCACATATACTGCATGCAAAATGTAAAATGAGCACAGTCATGACAAAAATGTTATGTTAAGTGAGGCATGAGATAGTATATCATGATGGTTAACTACTCAAAGGAGACAAACAAAACAATGAGGACAGGATCTTCCAATCAACTAAAATATTTTCATTGTTGTCCCATGATAATTTGTTCCATGGGTATAAGAATAATATCTTTACCATGGGAAGACCAACTTTTCCAATGATAATGTCAAGAGAATATTACATATATGCACATATTATACAAAGCATCGAGGTAAAAGATAAGCAAAGCCTGTAAGTGATGGTTAAGGTTAGATCAAAAGGTATATATGGAACTAAAAATTACAGTGCAGCTTCACATTTTACCTTCTACACAAATGAATTTGTTTCTCCATTCAATACCGTCAGGTCTTGGAATAGCTTTGGCTTCACGAACTGAAATCATCTGACTGCTCCAGCTAAAGAAAAATGAAATAATTTGCAGATATTTTTAATTAAGGTTGCTTTTGATGTATTGACATATGATCACATATAAAGGTGCTCAAAATCTGCATATGTAATTATGACTTGGAAACTGCAGAGAACAGTACTTCAGAGTGGTAATGCATTAGGATAGCAATATATTACTAGCTTTTAGGTACACAGTAATGGAGATCAGTACTGTCAGTTCACAATTTTGAGGAGTACAGGGACAAGAAGGGGACGCAACAAGAGAAAGGGAAAAATTCACAAAGAAATTAGGAAAATATTTCAGAAATAAAGAACAATTCAACAGACATCATAAATTGGTGACCAAATCATTTTATTAAGAATGTAATTCCGATTAATAAGGGTGTCAAGATCTAGCTTCAAAAGAAAAATGCAATTTGAACCTTAATGGGGAACAGTCTCTTAAAATTCCAGTATAAGAAAACTAAAGTGACTAATACAGGGTAAGATGAGCAGACGAAGGGAAAAAAAGGAAGTTAACTCAATCATTGTAAAATTATCCTGCTTTTAAAACAAAATCTAGTAAAATTAATTTCCGCTCTGAGACCATAATTAAACCTTCTGTAGAGCTTTTATAAAGTTCATCAAAAAAGTTTAGGAAATCCCTAAACTTTTGATTGTTTAAAATTGTAACCTTAACATCACATTAATACAAGTGTTGATATTTAAAGTGTGTGTTTTTTTCAAAGGGAAACTACTTATTTCACTGCAAAATTCCACATCTTTTTTAATAATAAAAAATGTATCCAATTATAGAGCTGCATAGTTCAACAGAAGCACAAATCAAATTTATGGCAGACATTATAGACTAGTTAGATCCCCTTGTATGGGCCCAATCTGTGGTGGCCAAAGTCCTGATCTGCAGCTCCATGATCTTAAAGCCAATTCTACATGACTGGTCTCTAGCCACTCTACAGTACATTAGAAGGCAATGGTACAGATTACACAGTAAACTACTATTTCATCCCCTACTGTGCTAAGAATCAGCAGAGGTTGGGTGCGTGTACAACATCTTAGCTAGGTTGCCCCTTAAGCACCAACTGTAATCACCAGATGGTTGGATTAACTGACTTTATGGACCCTTGCCATAGCCTACTAGTATGAATGAATGGAAGCAAAAGAGAATATGGCATAACACTGATTCTTACATGGGCCTATAAGTAATATGGACTTTAAATTTGGGGAAATTCTGTAGACTGTGAGCAAGCCTCAGCTGGTGTGGATTCTACTGAGATATTTTCCATATAACTTTATGTAAAACTGTAGTAAAAATACATTTTTTTCCAATTAAGTCTGGAGTCAAGTCATGAATGAAACATTAAATATTCAGATATTCAGACATTCAAGTTGAGGGTATATTCTTTGCTACAACAGAAAATGTAAATTTTATTCTACCAAAACTTGGAATAGCTTGTTGGAAGGGCTATGGGATACAGCAACCAAACACAACATTTATCTGGAATACATCAACTAACCTACATTTCTACCCATATTTAAACCTCTCTCAACTGGTCTGTTCCTATGCAATAGCAACAGTACAAAACAGTACAAAATGACAAATATTTCTACCATTCAAGTGGAGTAAAAATACTTTTAGCTTCTATGCCCCATGTTCTTATAGCAACATACTTTTGTAGTTTTTTATCCAGATAGATAGATAGATTGGAGGAGGGTTTCAGATGCATGGAGCTTAGTGGTTAGAGTACCATAAGCAAGCTTCTACTATAGTTCAAGCAGGGCTGTCCAACTTAGTGGCCAAGGGGCAACACCCAAAGCAGGCCATACAATAGTGGGGTCACAATAGTGTAACCCAAGGGTCTTCTGTGGCCAGCCCCTCCCTGCAGCACAGCACATGTGGATAGTTACCCCACCACTCCACTGTTTGAGGCAGCCCACTCTCCCCTCAAGTACTACATGGCATATGTGGGAGTCCCCTTCTACCATTCTACCACACATGCATATATGGTCAGGCCCCCCATGTCTGTGGGAGGGTGCCCCCAACCACTCCACTGTGCATGCACATGGGAACTCCCCTCCACCCACTCCCTCCCCCAGCTTACCAGCCATAGGCTTTCAGGCTGCACCAGGCTTCAGGCTCCTGTGCACTGCCCAGTAAGACAGGAGCAAAAAGTGGAAACCAGAAAAGCCTAGAGTCCCTTGCTCCTACTACAGCCAGAGTAATAGAGGGAACAGCAGCTGGGTGGGAGCCTGGGGCCTGCAGATTAACCACTTGCAGGCTACAATGCAGCCCACAGGCTGCCAGTTGGGACAGCCCTGTTCTAGAGAATACAAATGAAAAGGAAGAAGCAGTACTACAGTCCGCCATTAAGCTCATCCCAGCTTGTCTATAAGATTTAAAAAAATCAGGCTAAAGGAAGAGTTAAGTAATGGAGAAGCTAACCTAAGCAAGTCACAGTAGGCAACAAAGAAGATAAAAACTGCCATTTACTGAGTCAGACCATAGGTCCATCTTACCCAGTATGCTGTGTCAGACAATGGATGCCAAATGAGAGAATGAACTGGGTATGACCAGGGTTTTTCCCCCTGTTCCTCTTTCATTTGAAGCTTCCAGCATTTAAAGTCTAGGAAGTTTCAGTTCAGAGGCTGTAACTCTGACTCCCATGCTCACTAGCTACTGATGCACCTTTCCTCCAAGAACTTGTCCAATCCCTTTTTGAATCTGGCTAAACCAGTGGTGCTCAACCTTTCTGTGGATGGGCAGTGGTCCAGCCCATCCGTGAGCCAAACTGAACCAGTAGTCCCAATCTGGCACCCAGGGAATGTGTGGTAGCCCCCCAATCCAGCCATGTTGGGGAAAGGGGCATGGGCTTGGCCTCAACTCAGCCCTGTGGGGATGGATGTGGGGGCATGGCCCAGCCCTGATCCAGCTGTGTGGTAGGGGAAACAGTGTGTGGCCCGACCCAGATTCAACTGCACAGAGGGAAGAGGACATGGCTGTACCAGGTGGGGGCAGAGAGGAAGAGGAAGGAGGTGACCTGACTCCAGGCTCTCCGTGGGGCTTGGGAATTTGGCAGTGGGGAGGGCTGGCCGTATTAACTGCCACCGCTACTTGCCCTCAAATCTCCTGACTCATGGGGAGCCCTGTGGGCCAGATGCGGTGGCTCCGTGGACTGGAAATTGGGCACCCCTGGCTAAACTGTCAGCTTCTACATCTTGTGGCAAGCACTTCTACACTTTAATTACACACTGTATAAAATAACTTCCTCTTGTTAGTTCTGACCTTGCTACCTACTAGTTTCATTTTGTGGCCCCTAGTTCTTCTATTGCAAGAGACAGTAAATAATAAATCCCTATTTATTTTCTCTTTACCATTTAGTATTTTGTAAACCCTTATCATATTCCCCCTCAAGCATCTCTTCTAACAGAATAGACGTAGCCCCTTTCGACTCTCATCATATAGAAGCACCTCCACACTACTAACCATCCTCGTCGCCCTTCTCTAGTTCTCCTGTGGCAGAACTTTTTGAAGCGGGGGAACCAAAACTGGACACAGCATTCAAGGTGTGGACACACCATGGATTTATGAAGGGCCACATGAAGTTTTGTTCACAATTCCCTTATTAATAATCTCTAACATTTTGTTTGGCTTTGTGATGGCTGATGAGCACTGAGCTGATGTTTTTTGCGAACTGTCCACAATGACTCCCAGTTCTTTCCTGCATAGCAACAGCTAATGTAGAGCCCATCGTAAGTACTGTTTGGCTTATTTTTGCCCGGGAACATCACTTTACACTTACCTACACTGAATTTCCGCCATGCAGTTGCCCAGTTCCTCAATTGTGCCACATCCTTATGTAGTTCCTCACAGTCCACCTTGTCTGTACCACTCTGAATAATTGTCATCAACACATCTGGCCACCTTGCTACTTTTTCCAATCATAGAATCACAGAGAAGTAGGGCTGGAAGGGTCCTCCAGAGGTCACTCTAGTCCAACCCTATGCCTAAGGCAGGATCATTCCTATCCAAACCATCATATACAACCATAATCTAAACTACAATCATAATATAAGACTACCATTAAACCTGACCCAACACAGACCTAACACCCTAACCTGCCACAGGAAAAGCAGCAACCACAGCAGCCAATGTTCTGCTTCTAGAACATTTTGTCAATATACACTCAAGAGGTCTTGGGCAGAGGACCATTTCTCCCTACCTCCCCCCCAGCCCTTACAGAGGAAGGCAAAAAACTTTCACAGTTCATACCAATCTGATCATGAGGTAAAATACCTTCCTAACCCCAAATATGGTGATCAGTCTGACCCTGAGTGGAGGCAAGACCCTCTGGCTTTGCTCCTAGTAGGAGCATCAGCACACCCCAGCTGAAGTTCCCAGCCTTAGCTGTAGCCAACATCCAATGTCTCTGGGGAGGCTTAAACACACCCTGACATAATCAGAAAAAACGGGGTGGGGGAAAGCAACCAGCAAAGCCCAGAACCATGGGAAATACCCATGGTAGAAAACAGGCATAGCTAAGCCTAGATCATCCCCAAACAGTGGCTGTCCAACCTCTTCAATATTTTCAGTGATGGGAAGTCCACAACTTCCCTAGGCAGTCTATTCTACTACCTCCCTATTAGGCCTGTGCAAAGCAGCTAGCATTCACTTCAGATTCAGCCGATTTGGGGGGCAGCGATTACACCCCAGCTCCCAGCACTTGGGAAAAAAAAAGCCCCACTCACCGGGTGCTGCTGGGTGTGGGGGGGCAATCCCCACTGTCCTACGCTGTGTGGGGGGCTCCGAGTCAGCCCTCCTGACACCCCCCGCCCCCGCTCCCCCATGGCCACCTTGCCCACCGCAGCTCTGGCCCTTCAAGAAAAAAACCCAAGAAAAACCCCGCACTCACCATTCTTGTCAGCAGGGGGTGATCCTCGCTGCCCCCTGCTTCCCCGCACCACATGGGGGGCTCTGCACAAGCCCTGCAAAGCCCTGAGGCTGCTGCAGAAG